GAACCAGGAGCCAGACAGACATGCCACCTTTGCAGGAAGCAGGTGTGGAAGGAGTGGGGAGGCAGCGGGAATGTAGCTGCTGACCCAGATCTGCTGAAGGAGAGCAAATATCAAATCATGATGCAAAAGAGCTGGGGATTCAGGCTTCCCTTTGAGTTCTAGGAATCCCTGCCTGATGCAGCCAGTGATCTCTATTCACCCAGCAGATTCGCTACCCTTGCCCTGAGCTACCAGCACAAAGAATTTCTCTTCCCAAAGCTTCTTCATGTATCTTAGAGGCAATGGCACATGTACAGCCAACTGGTATACCAAATGGCCAGCAGAGGCAGTAGCAAAGAGGATTTCACCACCACCACCAAATACCAATGGTGTAGCATGGATTAGAAGTTCATTCCTTTTTATTGTCAAATAATATTCCATTGTTTGAATAGATCACATTTTGTTTTTTTCATTTGTCAGTTGATGAAAATTTGGGCTGTTTCCACTTTTTTGGCTATCTTGAATAATGCTAATATGAACATTAGTGGCAAGTTTTGGGGTGGACATGTTTTCAGTGCTCTTGGATATATAACTAGGAGTAGAATTGCTGGATCATATGGTAAGTCTACATTGAACATTTTGAAGAACTGCCAGACTATTTTCCAAAGCACTATGCCATTTTATATTCACACCAAAATGTAAGATTCCAGTTTCTCTACAATCTCACCAACACTTGTTATTGTCTGTCTTTTTTATTATAGCCATCCTAGTGAACGTAAAGTATCTCTATATTTTTAAAAGTGCTTTATGTATTAGAGATATTAGTTCTTTTTCTAAATGTTTTACTATTATCTTCCTAGTTATCACTTTTTTTTTTTACTTAATGGTGTATTTTTTACCAGGCCAAAGTTACCTATTTTATGTAATTGAATTTATTTTCTCTATTGCATCTAGATTTTGAGCCATAGTCAGAAAGCCTTTACCTGTTCTCAGAATATAGAGGAAGTCACCCACTCATACTTATATGGTTCATTTTTTACACTTAGATCTCCCATCCATTTGGAGCTGTTCCTGGTGTGACACATGCAACAAACTTTATCTTCTCCCAGCTGTCTATACTATTGTTCCATTAGCATTTATTAAAAAGTCTATACTATTGTCCCATCAGCATTTATTAAAAAGTCCATCTTTCTTCCAGTGTCATCTCCAGATATGAGATGACACTTTTGTCATCTCCTATATTTCCTGTGTATTTGGGTCTATCTGAACTTTCCATTTGATTCTGCTGGGCTATTTACTAATTTTCTGTTTTAATTACAGAAGGTTTTTTTTACATATTTTAATATCTGGAGGGCTAGTACCACACCTTCCATAACTTTTCTATTTCAGTATTTTCTTAACTCTTCTGTTTGTTTTTGCACATGAACTTTAGTATTAACTTGTCTCATTTCAGAAAAAAAGCTGGTTGGTTGGGTTTTTATTGGAATTTCATTAAATTAATAAATTAACTTAAGGAGAAATAACATGTTTATGATGCTAAGTAATCCTACCCAAAAACAAGAAATGTCTTTCATTTATCCTAGTCAAATGCTGTGTCTTTCAAATGTTTTAGAGTATTTTTCATATAAATTTTACATATTCTTGTAAGGTTTATCTTAACTATTTTTATCTTCTTTTATTGTTACTGGGGTATCTCAACCATTATATCTTATCCCGGCTATAATTTATGTATGGGAAGATTATTGATTTCTGTATGCTCATTTTATATCTTTCTTCATATACAAATTATTTTATTGAGTTATCATCGATCATCATTATAAAAGCTGAATTTATCATTGATTCTGTAGAATTTTCAGGTGTTGCCACATAATGTGCAAATAGAAATAAAATAGTTTTACTTATGTTCTAATTTTTATGCCATTAATAGATCTCTCTTGTCTAACTGCATTGGCTAATATGTCCAGTATGGTGTTAAATAATAACATTCTTTTCTTCATATTTTTAGTGGAAATGCCTCTAGTGTATCACCATTAGGTAAAATACTGGCTTTAGGACTAAGAAATATAGAGATAGGTAGATAGATATAAAATTATATATGTACATAATTTATATATCAGATAAATTAATATATAATTATACATAAATTCATGTTAAGTAAGTATACATTAATTCCTATTTTTTATGCTTTATGTTTTTATCTAGAATGGGGGTTGAGATTTGTCAAAGGCTTTCATCATTTATGGAGATAATCATATGATTTGTCTTCTTAGAACTTTATATGGTATTGTCTGTGACAGTTCAAGTAAAAATATATTTATTAAAATGTTCTTAAAAAAGTATTTGAGGCTTCCCTGGTGGCGCAGTGGTTGAGAGTCTGCCTGCCGATGCAGGGGACACGGGGTCGTGCCCTGGTCCGGGAAGATCCCACATGCCGTGGAGCGGCTGGGCCCGTGAGCCATGGCCGCTGAGCCTGTGCGTCCGGAGCCTGTGCTCCGCAACGGGAGAGGCCACAACAGTGAGAGGCCCGGGTACCGCAAAAAACAAAAACAAACAAACAAAAAAAAGTATCTGAAACTTTCATTTGCCAGGAAAAATATTTCTTAAACATTTCTCTATTCAACAATCATTTTTTAATTGAAATTGATGGTGGAAATGATTTAACTTGGATATCTTAGACCACCAAATACATAGTTTCAATGGGGGTTTTTTGGTGTGTTTTTTTGTTCTGTTTGTTTTCTTTTGTTTTCTAAAGAGATACACTCAATAACTTTCAAAATCAGATTCTTTGGTTACCCAAGATAACCATTATTTAAATCGTGACTGAGTGGTGATCCCTTAAGAAGTACTCCTGAGATGACGCTGTTCACATTGTCTCATTATTCAAGAGGCTCACAGCATGAGGAAGGTGATTTATACATAGTTAGATTGTATTGTTTTAAAACACTGAACTGGGGCTTCCCTGGTTGGCTCAGTGGTTAAGAATCCACTTGCCAATGCAGGGGACACGGGTTCAAGCCCCGGTCCAGGAAGATCCCACATGCCGCAGAGCAACTAAGCCTGTGCGCCACAACTACTGAAGCCCACGCGCCTAGAGCCTGTGCTCAAAAACAAGAGAAGCCACTGCAGTGAGAAGTCAGTTCACTGCAACAAAGACAGCCCCCGCTTGCCTGTGCACAGCAACAAAGACCCAACGCAGCCATAAATAAATTAATTAAATTAAATAAAAGTTAAAAGTAATAAAAATAAGTTGCATGGAAGTGATTCTATATTTGAAGAACTCTATATTTTTCTGGCCCAACCTGCATGTTCCTTGTTTTTCATCCCAGATGTTTACTTGGTAGCTGAACATGTTTTGAAGTTTTCCTCAAAGCACGGCTGGTCCAAGCAGCCCTGGCATTATATATGAATTCATTAGAAAGGCAGAATCTGCATTTTAACAAGATCCCTAAGTGATTTGTATGCCTATAGAACTATCAGAGAAGAGTGAGACACTTGGGGTTCTCCAAGGGCCATAGCCTTCTACCAGCAGTGACATCATCTAGGAACTTGTTAGAAATGCACATCCTTAGCCCTACCACAGAAGTACTGAATCAGGAACTCTGGGGTGGGGCCCAGGAACCTGTGTGTTAACAGGCCTTCTGGTTTCTGCTAAAGCTCACCAACGTTTGAGAACCGCCTGCCATCCAGGCAGATTGCCAGTAATCAGTGCAGGGGCTGTGAATACACGGTGCAGTCAGAGGCCAGTGCCACAGCAGTCGGAGGGTTGAGGAGGCTGGAGCTCTTGCCAGTTGCAATTAATTAGCTGTGTGATCTCGGGGCAGGAACTTGGCTAATTACCTGGATCTAGTTTCCTTAGTCTCAAAGAGAAAAGTGTCTAAGTTCCTTGGAGTAAACGTCCTCAAAATGTGGTTTGTAGGGGTCCAGGTTGTTTACTGAAGGCCCAGTAGGCAGTTAGTTATTATGGAGATAAATATAACAGCACATATAATAGGCAAAAATGTATTTTGCTTAAATGTAAGATATGAATGCCACAGAACTGTGATTTTGAACAATGATTTGGAAATGTAAGAGATGAATGCTACAGAGCCATGATTCAACATCACTGCACATGTGCTCTGAGGTCTGGGCTGAACAAAACTGATCAATTCATCTCAGCTAACTTTTAGTTAACAAGGTGTAGCTATTTTCTCTAATGTGTTTTCACAGCATTTACTTCTTACCATTTACATTTGTTAATCTCCCATCTTCGTTGCAATTACACTATATTATAATCACAATTTATAAAAGTGGTAAAAAATATTAAAGAATAATCATAAAAACAAGTTGCAAAATTTAGAGTTAGGGAAAATTTTAAAGATCATTGAATCCAACTTTTCCACTTTATAGAAACTGAGGTCCAGAAGATGTGTACAGTGTAACTAAGGCTACACAAGTAAGCCAGTTTCATTTGATTCCAAATCCAGACTTCTTTGTATTCTCTATAGTAAAGTTGTGCTTTGTATTGTAGGCTCTTGTTCACTGTCTGGATGCTAATCTCCTTGGAATGAGAGTCCACACCTAAATGTAGCCTCAATCCAGCACTGAAACATGCTAACTAGGCTTTCTCCCTAAGAAACAACTGGTGCATGCCAAGCCCAGCTAAGGAATCTGGAGGTAGAGTTTTCTATTCCTCATTGTGTATTTGTAGCCATATGCCATTTCTGATATGACTTTACACATCTGCAAAGTGCAAACTCACGTTTTTCTTTATGTAATCTAATTACAATATTCCCCATTCATTGGTAGAGTCAACTGTCCAATAATTAACCTTGGCATCTGCTATATAATCTGCTCACTATTATGGGCAAATTATGGTTGCTCACTATTTCATTATTAAAAATAAGATTAAGTGGAATAAATAAGTCAGCTTATCAAAGCTCCAGGAAGCGAGATAACATGAAAGCTGTATTTCAGTAGTTGATAGAAGCTATTTATCTTTCAGTTTGAATCTTTTAATCTTTAAGTTTAAAGTAAGTACTTACCATAGTGAGTGATGAGGCAAAAGGACGATATGAAGGTTTGACTGTCATAACAGATCTTCAATGCTTGAGCAGAGCCTTTGTTAAACATCTGTTAAAAACAACCATCGATGGAGCAAAATATGATACATTTTCTGTCTGTGCTTCATTTTACTCTAGATCTATAATAAAGTCAAGTGGAATGTTGAACATCAAGATACAATTCTATCATGACAATAAAAGAAGACTTGGGAGATTTAATTTTCTGCATGGATTTAGATTTTCAACACAAACTATGTAATTTCTTAGCCTTCCATTGTGAAGATGTAGGCAGTGAAATAATATGCTTGATTTTCTGCTGGCACATCTCTCTAAAGCCCAAATCTAAGGATGCTAAGCCCTTTCCTTTCAATGTCTTCCTACCCTAGTCTCTGGAATCAGTATAATTCCTATTTGGGAACTACTACAGCATTTCTATATTAGATCATTAGCCTAAAATCAAGGTAAACTTTCCTTAGCCATTCATTAGAATATAAAGTTCGAAAACAGGGAATTTTTCTGTCTTGCTTAACCCTGTGTGTATTCTGCCCTAATTTTTGCCACATAGTGTGTGCCCTATAAATATGTACTGAAAGAGGGAAAATTAAAGAACAAGTAAATGAATGAACTAGTGGCTTCTCTGGTGTCCTTGTTGAGCTCTAAGCACCACGCCCTTCTTGTAACTGAATTCAAATTAGTGAATCGATATTGCCTGATATTTCTGAGGTTTTGCCTTGCTTGGCAATGGTCCCAGGAATATGAGCAATGCTCCTGAACTATGGTCCCATGGTTGAGTTCTTCCCCCAACTGCGTCCTCATCTCCCTTGCGCCAAACAAATTTTGATTTCCCACCTACTGCTTCTTTCAGACTTCATGACACCATGCTCCACGCATCTACTAGGATAGTCACACATGAATTTTTCTGTGCATCCCTAACCCAGACCTTCTTTCTGCTTCTCCAATCACCATATTCTTCTCATGATCGTTTTTTGGTAGTGGAAAAAAGAAAGAGTTGTCAAGCTGGTATGTGATTATGAACAATTTTGTGCTGGAGTATTTGAAAAGCCGGCGTGTTTTTCTTAAAGCAATACCTACACCTCACTGAATGTTACAAATGATTAGTAGTTTGGTGTTTATCTTTCTGCTTTTTCTGTTCTATAAATATCATAAAAGGCAGAAAGAAGAATGATGATGACCAATTTGTAGTTAGGAAAGCTCAACCAAGGGTCAGGTGTGGATGGTATAAGAACAGGGTTACTCTCAGCCGATCTGTTGCAACCCTATATTTATTACCTCCAGACACGCTCTGAGTCATGGTCAAACTTGAATGAAATGTACTGGTTAGTGATGAATATAGTACTGAGCTAGAGTCCAAGACAGACCAGGGGCAACTAGTGCCAGCTTATCAGCACTGGTTATAAAAAACATACAGGGACTTCCCAGGTGGTGCAGTGGTTAAAAATCCGCCTGCCAATGCAGGGGAACTGGGTTCGAGCCCCGGTCTGGGAAGACCCCACATGCCGTGGAGCAACTAAGCCCTTGAGCCACAACTATAGAGCCTGTGCTCTACAGCCTGCAAGCCACAACCACTGAGCCCGTGTGCCACAACTACTGAAGGCTGTGTGCCTAGAGCCCACGCTCCACAACAAGAAAAGCCACCACAATGAGAAACCTGCGCACCGCAACCAAGAGTAGCCCCTGCTCGCGGCAACTAGAGAAAGCCCACATGCAGCAACGAAGACCAAACACAGCCAAAAATAATTAAATTAATTAATTAATTATTTTTAAAAGTTAGAGTAAGACGTGGAGAACACCTTCCTCCCCACAAATACATCAGAAATACATCTACATGTGGAACAGCTCCTACAGAACACCTACTGAATGCCGGCAGAAGACATCAGACTTCCCAAAAGGCAAGAAACTCCCCATGGACCTGCAAAGGGCAAAAGAAAAACCAGAGGCAAAAGGATAGGGATGGAATCTGCACCAGTGGGAGGAAGCTGTGAAGGAGGAAAGGTTTCCACACACTAGGAAGCCCCTTCACTGGTGGAGACGGGGGGTGGTGGGGGTGGAAGCTTCGGAGCCATGGAGGACAGCGCAGCAACAGTGGTGCAGAGGGCAAAGCGGAGAGATTCCCGCACAGAGGATCGGTGCCGACCGGCACTCGCCAGGCCGAGAGGCTTGTCTGCTCACCCGCCGGGGCGGGCGGGGGCTGGGAGCTGAGGCTCGGGCTTCAGAGGTCGGATCGCAGAGAGAGGACTGGGGTTGGCGGCGTGAACACAGCCTGAAGTGGCTGGCTAGTGCACCACAGCTGGTCGGCAGGGAGTCTGGATCTGCTGAAGAGGCAAGAGACCATTGTTTCGGGGTGCGTGAGAAGAGGGGATTCCTTCCCTGTCTGCCCACAGAAGGCAGGACACCACCTAAATGAGCTCCAGAGACAGGCAGGAGCAACAGCTATCAGCACGGACCCCAGAGACGGGCATGAGACGCTAAGGCTGCTGCTGCCGCCACCAAGAAGCCTGTGTGCGAGCACAGGTCAGGTCACTATCCACAGCCCCCCCACACACACACACGGGAACCTCTGCAGCCCGCCACTGCCAGGGTCCCATGATCCAGGGACAATTTCCCCAGGAGAAGACACAGCGCGCCACAGGCTGTTGCAACATCATGCTGGCCTCTGCCGCCGCAGGCTCTCCCTGCACTCCGTACGCCTCCCTACCCCCCACCCCCACCCCCCGGCCTGAGTGAGCCAGAGCTCCCGCTGCTTTAACCCCGTACCCTCTGGGTGGGAACGGAAGCCTGTGGGCAACCTACACGCAGAGGCAGGGCCAAAAGCAAAGCTGAACCTGAGGAGCTGTGCGAACAAAGAAGAGAAAGGGAAATTACTCCGAGCAGCCACAGGAGCTGCAGATTAAATCCCCACAATCAACTTCATGTACCCTGCATTTGTGGAATACCTGAATAGACAACGAATCAACCCAAAATTGAGGCGACGGACTTTGGGAGCCACTGTAGACTTGGGGTTTGTTGTCTGCCACTGACTTGTCTCTGACTTTTATGTTTATCTTAGTATAGTTTTTAACGCTTGTTATAACTGGTGGATTTGTTTATTGTTTTGGTTCCTCTCTTCTTTTTTTATTACCTTTTTTATTTTAATAACTTAAAAAACAATTTTATTCTAATTATTTATTTATTAAAAAATTTTTTTCTTTCTTTCTTTTTTTCTCCCAATTCTGAGCTGTGTGGCTGACAGGGTCTTGGTGCTCTAGCCTGCTGTCAGGCCTGAGCCTCTGAGGTGGGAGAGCCAAGTTCAGGACACTGGACCACCAGAGACCTCCCAGCCCCACATAATATCACTTGGCCTGAGATCTCCCAGATATAACCATCGCAACCCTAAGACCAGCTCCACCCAACGGCCAGCAAGCTCCAGTGCTGGACACCCCATGCTAAACAACTAGCAAGACAGGAACACAACCCCACCCAGTAGCAGACAGGCTGCCTAAAATCATACTAAGTTCACAGACACCCCAAAACACACCACCAGATGCAGCCCTGCCCACCAGAAAGACAAGATCCAGCCCCACCCACCAGAATACAGTCAACAGTCCCCTCTACCAGGAAGCCTACAAAATCCAAGGACCAACCTTAGACACTGGGGGCAGACACCAAAAACGACAGGAACTATGAACCTGCAGCCTGGGAGATGGAGACCCAAAACACAGTAAGTTAAGCAAAATGGGAAGAAAGAGAAATATGCATCAGATGAAGGAGCAAGGTAAAAACCCACCAGACCAAACAAATGAAGAGGAAAGAGGCAGTCTACCTGAAAAAGAATTCAAAGTAATGACAGTAAAGATGACTAAAACTCTTGGAAATAGAATGGAGAAAATACAAGAAATGTTCAACAAGGATCTAGAAGAACTAAAGAGCAAACAAACAATGATGAACAACACAATAAATGAATTAAGAATTCTCTAGAAGGAATCAATAGCAGAATAACTGAGCCAGAAGAACGGATAAGTGACCTGGAAGATAAAATAGTGGAAATAACTATCACAGAGCAGAATAAAGAAAAAAGAATGAAAAGAATTAACGACACTCTCAGAGACCTATGGGACAACATTAAACACACCAACATTCCAATTATAGGGGTCCCAGAAGAAGAAGAGAAAAAGAAAGGGTCTGAGAAACTATTTGAAGAGATTATAGCTGAAAACTTCCCTAATGTGGGATAGGAAATAGTCAATCAAGTCCAGGAAGCACAGAGAGTCCCACACAGGATAAATCCAAGGAGAAACAGGCCAAGACACATATTAATCAAACTATCAAAAATTAAATACAAAGAAAAAATATTAAAAGCAGCAAGGGAAAAACAACAAATAGCATACAAGGGAATCCCAATATGGTTAACAGCTGACCTTACAGCAGAACTCTACAAAGCCAGAAGGGAGTGGCAGGACATATTTAAACTGATGAAAGGGAAAAACCTACAACCAAGATTACTCTACTCAGCAAGGATCTCATTCAGATTCAATGGAGAAATTAAAACCTTTACAGAAAAGAAAAGCTAAGGATACTTGGTACCAGCAAACCAGTTTTACAACAAATGCTAAATGAATTTCTCTAGGCAGGAAACACAAGAGAAGGAAAAGTCCTACAATAACAACACAAAACAATTAAGAAAATGATAATAGGAACATACATATCGATAATTACCTTAAATGTAAATGGATTAAATGCTCCAACCAAAAGACATAGACTGGCTGAATGGAAATAAAAACAAGACGCATATATATGCTGTCTACAAGAGACCCAATACAGATGGAGGGACACATACAGACTGAAAGTGAGGGGATGGAAAAAGATATTCCATGCAAATGAAAATCAAAAGAAAGCTGGAGTAGCGATTCTCATATCAGACAAAATAGACTTTAAAATAAAGACTATTACAAGACACAAAGAAGGACACTACATAATGATCAAGGGATCGATCCAAGAAGAAGATATAACAATTGTAAATATTTATGCAACCAACATAGGAGCACCTCAATACATAAGGCAAATGCTAACAGCCATAAAAGGGGACATCGACAGCAACACAATCATAGTAGGGAACTTTAACACCTCACTTTCACCAACGGACAGATCATCCAAAATGAAAATAAATACGGAAACACAAGCTTTAAATGACACATTAAACAAGATGGACTTAACTGATATTTATAGGACATTCCATCCAAAAA